CCCTTTTCAAACAAAATGGAAATTGTGGCATCAAGCAGCTAGGGAGATATTTAAAATGCGGCAAGCCTTGGCATCACATAAAATGCCGAGTTCCAGGTTTGACAGTTCCATCGCTACAAAACGCGACTTTAAATTCCTCACAGTGCACGGATGGTATATTACAATCAAAAGGGCTGTTAGTGTTGTGACACTTGTAATATGTTGCTTTTCGACAAGTCTCGCAATGTGTTTTCTTATTCTGGAGCTCTTTGGATGGCAGCCCTGCAGCTCTAGGGGAGGCTGTCCTTGGGTAAGGTTCAGAGGTGGCAACGTGCACAGACCTGGCATCCAGGATGCCGAGTGGCATCTCCTGCCATCCTCATAGAGAGGTCTGCACTGAAAGATCTGCACCAGTTGGCAGGTAGATCCTTGTTGAAAAGGTCCTGTAGCCAGGATGGGGATCAGGAAGCCCTTCAGATCTTGTTGGGCTGCAACTTCCATCCTTCTTCATCATTGCCTATGGTGGCTAGGGCTGATGGGAGTTGCAGTTCAGTAAGATCTGTATGGCTCCATGTGTCCTCCCCTTACTCTATGCAGTCCAGGCTGAATGGACCCCCCCCCCGTCTTTATATTTTGAGGGATCGGCTTCATGTTTCATGGCCTAGTGATGCTTCTTTGGCTGGTGGTATGGAGAGAAGACCTTCTTTGCTATGGATCTCACCACATGGAATGGTCCTCCCGATGAAATTAGGTGGGCTCCCTGTGATGGGTATTTTCACTGGCAACTGAAGACCTACCTGTTTGCGCAAGCTGCAGTCCTGTCTCTTCAGCAGGAGCATGATCCCCACCCAGCATAGGCAAAGTAACTTTCAGACAGTTCTTCACAAAGTTACATGGGGAGAGGAGCCTCTCTGTCAAGTGTCGGAGAGAAAAAATTGGTGCCTCCCATTCAAATTTCCATGGCCAAGGTCCTTTGCAAAAATAATGGCAAGGAGGGGGATCCCAAGGTTATCTCCTAGGAGACAAGCCCTTCTTTAGGTTGCACAAACACACAGACACACTCCTGGAGCCTGTGGATATATATGCTAATAAAATGGTAATCAATGCAAGATCCCCATCATACCTCAGCACAAGGACGGCTTCTGAGATGATGGCGGAGGGAGCTGGGATGCCTTCGGACTGGGAGGCCAGGTTGTCACACCATATTGGGATCTCTAAAGGGAATTCGTAGCTAGGTGTGGGAACACTTGAGGATTTTGTTCAGATGGTGTTTCACAGTAAACAGTGCCTAGATCACTTGACTCTCAGCCTTCTCTGAATGTTTTTGATCCAGATCTTGGCTCAGCCTGCATCTAATGCAGTTTGACATGGCTGCAGCTGCCATGGCTCTGTCCTATGGAATCCTGGGATTTGTAGTTTTGGAATGCACCAGAGCACATGGACAGAGAAGGCAAAATATCTCCCAAAGCTACAAATCCCAGAATTCTGTACTTACACTGGCCAATTGGATCTTGGCTGATACGTTCCAAAGTACAGGGATAACCACTTCCTACTCCCCAATTAGGGCCTTTGCAGACTGCCAGAAATAGTGCAAATTGAGTCCACTTTAAGGGTTAGGGTTAGTGCTAGGGAATCATGGGAATTGTTTTTTTTCCTGAGACATTGAGCCTTCTCGGTCAGAGAGCTCTGGTGCCACAATAAAATACAGTTCCCATGATTCCCTAGCACTAACCCTAAACCTAAAAGTGGACTCAATTTGCACTATTTCTAGCAGTCTGCTAGATTACTGTAACGTGCTCTATTTGGAGCTGCCCTTGAAGAATACATGGACATTGCAGCTAGGGCAAAATGCAGCCGTGAGACTGGTGACGGGAACGTGAAGAAGAAACCACATGAAAAGAGCTGACTAGTTGCTCTAGCTTGAAGGTCTGTGTGCCCTAAACTCTGCACATTTCCTAACTTTAGTTCTTATTTATTTATTTGGGTGCCCAAATATTAGGCTGGGATTTAGAGCTTCTTTCCCTGAACCTGAACTGAGCTGTGAGCTGGAAGTGGAAAAGAGAGGAGGGAGAAGGATAAGCAATTGGCCATAAAGTAATAAATTTGCAACTCAGGCATTTCTGTCTCAATAGAGGTGTAACCTGGCTGACTTCCCGGTCACAGGGAGCATGGCCTTTACAATTAGAAAACAATGCTGTGATTTCACATCTGCTGGTAATTTACTGTCTGGCATGGATTGCTCCAGGGGTAAAGATGGTTTCAGACACAACTTTAAAACCAGATGTGATTCTCAGCCAGCCATGCCACCCAACCCCCAAACCGTGCCCTTTCTATTTCTAATAACCTTTTATTTTTCAATGCAATCCAGTCTTTCAATCAAATCATACACCATGCCACAAAGTAAAGATTCAGATCTGGTAAATGCAAACTGCCCCTTTGTTTTGTGTCCTGTAAGACTTTGCATTTAACTCTTGGCTCCTTCCCTTGCCATATCCGCTTCGACATGTTCTCCTGACGATGTTTCAATGGTACATCCTTGGTCAAAATCAGGATTGTTTGAAATAGAATTCTAGGCAAGACATTCATCTTTATCACTGAAATTCTCCCCAACAGGGACAAAGGAAATGTCCCTTTTTGTGACCATTTCCTGGGATGGAGCCCACCGTTTATGGGAAACACACAGCTACTGCCAAACCCTTTGTAGTGCAGAATGGGAATGTCATTTTGAGCATTTCAGGAATGCTAACTTCATCCTTGAAGGACGTGTCAAGTAATTTAAACAATTTTCTTCCTGCTGCAAGAACCCCTATGAAAGGGATGCAATTTTCAAAGGTTAGCTGCAATTTGGGACTTCTTCTGCACAAAATGTGTGCATGGTTTTTGTGTGTGCGCAAGAAACAACTTTTTACGCAGAAAATGTATTTCTGGGCAGAAACAATCTCTTCTGTTCAGAAAACGCTGTTTTCCCTACCATAAAATGGTGGAATTATTATACAGAATAAATTCTGAACAGTAAATATTCTTTTCTGTCCAGGATTCTCCTTGTCAGGTTCCCTCAACCCTTGAAAAACACATTTTTTTAATATTATCAGATCTTCTTTCCAGTTCATGGCAGTCTATCGCCCTTTGAACTCCCCTCAGTTTTGGATGCTATCATATCACATTTAGTTTCTGTTTTGGTGGTAATTATTTTAGTGGTTCCTTTACTGCTTCATATACAATATCGATTTTCAACTTTTTAATTGTCTTCCTGCAAGTTACCTAGTGGACAGGCAATTTCTACAGGGAATGTCTTTCCCCCCTCAAAACCTTCCCCATGGCTGCAATGCTGTTGGCTTTTGCCTTGTCTGCCATGAGATGAACTCTTCATTTAGTGCAAAGTATTTAAAATTTAGTACCTCCATTGAGGGCCTTGGATGCTCTACAGCTCCTAATTTGGTTCGGTGTTTTGGTGTCTGTCTGGATTTGACATGATAATGTACCTGCTAAACTTGAACAGAGCCTCGGCGGTGTAGCGAGACACATCTAAAGCACCCGCCTGAGTTTAGTTGACATTCTTATCACTTAAAAGCCCACACTTCCAATTACTATCTCTGGACAGTTTGTCTCTTTGGATAATTGGCTTCCCATCTCGGTGGAGAAGGGATGACAAGAGGAGGCTTCTCTTTCAAGGAGGGGTGAGGGATTGTGCAATGGAGAAGAGTGGGGCAAAGAGATGGTGGCTGAGCACAAGAGGCAATTATTTGCCATCTCTGATGAACCGAACATCATTCCCTGGCCCCGGCTCCTGCTTCAGCTTAGGTAAATGAGGGCCAAGCAAGACAATATGCTTAGCAAATCTTTAGGAGTAGTACTCACACAAGAGATGAAAGACGTCTAGCTGTTATTGCATGTGCTTTCCCTCCCCTCTGTATTTTGCACTGAGCCTGCTTTGTTTTTGGATTGAAGATTGGAAGGGAAGCAGGAGTTGACTTTGTGAATCTGACTGGCGATGCACATATCCCTGAGGCAATCTATTCACTGGGGCAAATACACCTAAATCACAGGGAACAGACCTCCCCCTTAATGTCTAGTTTGACCCTTTGCTTCTGTTCGTGGAGAGTTAACTTTCAGTAAACCAAGTGCCCAAAGCCAGTTGTTTGGTTGGAACAGGTGCAAAAGTTCTTGAAGATGAATCCTCTTGCGTGTCAGAAATCCTCACTGAGTAACATCCAGATTATTTAACCAAGGGTTTGATGAGGTTGGGTCAAGCAAGATTTTGTTGCTGTTGTGTGCCTTCAAGTCATTGCTGAGACTTATGGCAACCTTAAGGTGAAGTTATTATGGGGTTTTCTTGGCAAGATTTGTTCAGAGGGGGTTGCCATTGCAGAGAGTGTGACTTGCCCAAGATCACCCAGTGGATTTCTTGGCTGAGCAGGGAATCGAACCCTGGTCTTCAGAGTTGTAGTCCAACACTCAAACCACTAAGCCACGCTGGAGGACTTTTAATGACCACTATGTATTCCCTACACGATTGCCACAATTGTGAATATGTTGGTATCATGAATACAAATCGGTTAGGGATACATAACTCCAGGTTATGCATTCATCACTGTGATTGTGAATTTAACTTGATTTTTTGATTAACCTTGATTTTTTCTAGCATTTCTAGCATTGCAGGAATTTTGGAAACTTCAGTTGAGCTTTTAGAAGTCCAGTCCAGGCATTCAAAGGAACAGAATGGGCAGAATGACCCAGGAAAGGTGAGCAGAGCAAAGAGAAGAGTTTGAGGTGTGAACCATTTTCAAGGTGTCCTTCCCTGCAATGCTAGAAATTGGGGAATTGAAGGAAAATTTCATTGGGGGCCAGACTTCTTATTGAAGCTGGTCAATGGTTTTATTTCCCCCTACCCCAAAGTAACATCTCTGGTCAGGGAGCACATGGAGTCTCCAAAATGGCTGCATGAGACAGGTTTGCTCCAATGAGGTTTGCCATTGCCTTCCCCAGAGGCTGAGAGAGTGTGACTTGCCCAGTGGGTTTCATGGCAGAGCTGGGAATCGAACCCTGCCCTCCAGAGTTGTAGCCCAATGCTCAAAACACTACGCCACGCTGGAGTGGCTTCTGTAAAATCCAGGGTGTATTCAAAACCCTTTCTTGAAAAAGCAAGACGGCATTCCCAGGGAAGCTGCCTGGATTGTCTGCCCCTGTTTACAAGTGAGATTTGCATGCCATGTGTGGGAACAATCGATCTCATGACACCCTGTTTGCACTGAGCCCCATGCAAAGTCTAATACCCCCCACGTTGCCATAATTAGCCTTGCAAAGATTGCAAGAGTGCTATCTTTTTAAATCAGGCTGATGGCTATCGACTCCAATGTTTGCAGTTATCAGAAAGAAATGCTAAAGTAGCAGCCCTGTGCTGAATTGCCATTTATTCAGTCTAAGCACATGGCTTTAAAAGCCAAAATCCATATAATAATCCAATGTTTGTATTCTCAGGGCGCTGAATCATTCTGATGGGTAAATGTGCATGCAACACAATGGAGCCATCCTCAAGGCAGGCTGTCAGTGATTGTTTTCTTTGCTGGCTTTCAGGGGTGTATATGTGTGTCTAGAAAACAAGAACCACTTGATAAATACTGCCAAAACCCCCATAAATATCCCTCTCTTTTGCTGCAAAGTTCACGTTAGGCACCACGCCTCCATTTCCGCCACTCCTGTTCATCCGTTTTCTAACCATTACCCAATTGCCTCAGAAAAAAAAATACTACAACATAGTCCTGCGACACCTTCAAGATTATCAGATTTAGTGTGTCAGAACCTTATGATCTGATAAATATGAGAGTCTTCAAGGTGTCATGAGATTTTGGGTTCTTTTTGCTGCAGTCAAAAAGCAGGCTTCCCTTCTGGAATTTGTCACAATTGATACTAGTGCTTTTGACTGAAGAACATGATGTGCAATTATGCGCACGCTACACAACCATTATTCAGATCCATGGCACTGCTTCTGTTTTTTAATGGGAGGAAGCTCACACTGTTTTAGATAAAGATACATGGCCAAGGCACTGGACTAGAAACCCTGTGGTATGGTGTGTCCCGTTACACAAAACACACATGTGCAAGGCATTTGCACACTTCAGAGAAGGACTGTGCACCCTGCAGGGATGAAGGTACCAGAGGAAATGGGATACTGGTGAGGGATGGATTCATGAACGAATGTATTTCTAGGTCATGGGATTTTTCATGCGTTCCCATCTAACTTTGTTCCGTCCTGGTTTCCCATGGATAGGCGGTTTTTAAAAAATGACACGAATACCCACATTTGAACGTTTGTTTTAATGTAGCTGTGGAAGCATGCTGACATGAAACTACCTGCACATTAGTAGGGATGTAAATGGTGGCTTGGGTTCATTCTCTTATGGGAAATGGGACACAGCAAATTGCAAAAAGAAACCACTGATCTTCACCAGGAGACATCTTGTTCTTGTTAACAGGTATCAGGGAAAACTGATGCCTTTTGAAGATGGCTTTTGGTCCATTCCTATAAAATGAAAAGAGCTGGAAAATATAAGCCTGGCTCTTATTTGTCCATCTCAGTTCAAATAGTCTCACAGACTCAACAGTAGTCCATCAGTTTCATTAATTCAATGGATCTATCCTAGGTGGGCCTAGCAATAGATTCCAAAGCCAATATGTTGAGGGTATTTGCCATCAAGTTGACTTTAACTTATAGTAACCCTATGAATGAGAGTCCTCTAAGAGCCCCAGGGATCAACTACCCTTTCAGGTCTTGCAAATTCAAGTCAACCATGGTGGCTTTCTTGATAGAGTCTGCCCATCTGTATTGTGGTCCCTCTTTTTTCCTGCTGCCTTCCAATGAAGGGAGATTTCCTTCTCCAGTAATGCTAGGATAAATTAAATTCTCCATTGCAATCAACCATCCCAGGCTTCAACATATTCCAAAAAGGTATAAATTCCAAAAAAGCAAACCTTGATTTTGCTGTTTTATATAAGGGACCTCATTTTACTATGTCATTATATTTAATAGGACTTGAGCATCCATGGATTTTGGTATCCACAAAAGGTCCTGGAACCAAACCCCAGAGGATACCAAGGACCCACTGGATAGATAATAAATTGCCTATGGGACATGACTTTGGGCATATATAATTGCCTATATTTCGGCATATATTATATAGACTAGTCAAAGGAGTAGCCATTGCATGGGCTGCTTGTGGTCAAAGGACAGAGAGGAGGGCCAGCCTTGAAGATCTTAGCGCCTTGGTAAGATCATATTGGATAATACGGCCCTTCAAATCTGTATCATTGCAAGGGCAATCCCCCCCCCCCCCC